GTGAGGCTGAGTGATCCGGGTATGTAGTTTTTATCTCTGAGGAGAAAGTTGGTTGAATAGCAAGATCGGCATGTGTATAAAATCAATGACATTTGCTGTGTGAGAAAATCATTATTGAATATGCCGAATATGACGGGTTATTTAGATGTTGTGCTTTCGGAAGAGAGGTTATGTTCAAAGTTATAAATCATGAAAAACTGTGGAGAATTCCGGAAAATCATGACCGCGCCCGCGTTGTGTGTAATTACTGTTAGCATGTATATGGCTTGTAATTCGACAGTGTACAGTGAATATAATTATTTCTTATCTCTCTCATTTTTGAAATTCAACAAATTTGTATATGGAATTTCCACATTGGATAAGAAAAAGTGGATGCGCAACTAGTTTCTAGCTTTGAATCTTAATTAAGTGTATTTGAGTCAAGAACCCTTTGTAATTATCATCAACACTTACAACTTTTACATCACATCAAAGCCAAAGATTGATCCCAAGCCTTATGACGTTTAGGCACCACGTACAACTGAGTGCTAAGTTAACATCATATTTTGTTTTTGTAAAGATATGCAAAATTAGTTTTTTGAGAAGTTTAATTTTAATTTGTTTTTTATATTTATAGAATTCACCTACCTCTGTGGTCGGTGCGCTATAGCAAAATGTGATGTTTCCCATTTGTTATTATATGTTTGAGGAGAACCTGTCTACCCGTGTTGTCTGTACGCGCCTAATAGATTTTTTATCGTTCTCCTACCGATTTTGTCCTTGAATCTACAGAATTCCAATGACACTATCTACGGTAGCACTGGTTCTAAGCTGAGGAGGTAAAATTATCAAACTAATATATTATAGCTACCATTCGCCGGCTACAGATGGCCAACTATGGACAGCTGTTTCATGCTATTTGGTAACTCCTCAGCATGGTGAAGGCTTAGTCAATTTGGATCACGAATCAAAGCTGAGCTACTCTACTGCTACCAGAGTATAAGGCTTATTGAAGTAAGACAGCACTAAGCGCCATCTATTACCAGAATCCACCACTGCGAAATTGAAAACACCAAGTTGTCTGTTGGAACTATATCGCAGTTCGCATTGCCAGCTGTCCATTGTTGGTGGTCTGTGGTCAGAAGCTATGCTACTAGTTTGTTCAACGGCGGGTAGACCGTATCTTCTATAGCACCATAACTGGCATCATCTAGCGGCCACAGTGGTGATCCGGCCGACAATGCGAACAACTGAGTTCCAACAGATATCTTGTTGTTGTAACTGCCGACTTGGTCGATTCTGGTAATAGATCTCATCGGCAAAACTGTATGGTAACGCCTCTGTTGAGCATCGTTCTGCAAAATGTTGCATTAATTTCATTTACATCGGCAAAGCGGTCGTCAAAAGCAAAAATTAGATATTGTTCGCGAGGTTAGATAGCCAGACAGAAGGTATAAAGACTGAGAAAAACATCGTGGAACACCAGTTTAACAGTTAATTGATCGTATTACAACCGATGAGGCGATTAGACCGGAAACTCTTCATGGATGAGCACAGTCGATAGTCTTAGCGCATTTGGCGAGGGATTATTTAATTTCCTGAAAAAGCAGATGTTTCCAGAGAATCGCGGCTCATTGTTAATTGAACTTGGCTTGGTGGTAGGTACGTCGGAATCGTTGAACTTACGATGCAATCCGAACATAACTTCGTGCCATATGCGAGATGCTAACATCTTTAGATTACAATAGTGTAACAAAAACACCGTTATTGTTGTCCAAAATCGAATTGATTACTCTACACTGATTTACAACGCAAAGAAGATTGAAGACTAAGGTGAGCTAGTTTAGGTGACTTTATAATCCCGGCATTAATTTATAGTAAAAATTCTATCACACTTTAGCAAATACAAATTTACCAATCTTAAATAAGGTGAGGAGTTTGTTTGATCCGAAGGTCTTTTGTTGGATATCAAAGTCTAAAATCATCATCGACATTTGGAAAATGTAACATCCGAATGCAAGCGGACTACGATGATAGAAGAGACATACATTTATATCATATTTGAAAAATACAAAATAATATACAAACAAAAAATGAAACATCGTGTAGATAAAAGTATACACATTAAACTTATTATAACCCTCTACTGTTATCGGTAATAAAAAATTACACATGTCCCCAAGCGTTACTAGTGAAAGTCAGCAATATTTTATGTAGATATGAGCACACTCTATGGTTACGTACGAATACTTTTGCCTGAGTTAACCAATCTTAACAGACCTCCTACCCACCACTGATAAATAATAATATTGTAACGCCCTCGTATAATTGGAAGTCTCGTACATCGACCAGGAGATTCGACAGATGCCCAGAAACATCGACGCTTACGCAACCAGAATTACTCCGCCGTTTAACTGGCAGCTAGAATACGCGAATGGTCGCGACTGCATCGGCAAGCATCTACCGCCATAGATAAGTATAAATCGACATTGGAATCTGTCAAATTCAAAAAAAGTACCCATGTGCCTCCACCAGAGGAATAGTCAGACACTCGACGAGTAGCGACCCATGCGTCAACATAGTCCAGTCAACATGGTTATGAATTTATCAGAACTTAGTTCCAAGTGTTATAAATCGGTGTTAGAGTAATAAATTAGACTTTGAACAATGAGTACGGTGTTTTCGTTATAATATGCTTATGTGTGCCACTTTTCAGATTCCTGTATTGTTAACTTCAGAAACTTGAAACCTTAGAGACACTAAAATTGGAGCAGTGCGACCATTTTAAAAAAACTTTATCTGAGGATGCATACGAATCTTGTGCTACCGACTTGGCCAGCGCGTAAAACAAGAGTATGCCCCTCGGTAAGGGCTAATTTCGGGTTTGCGCGCAGCTGAGTCTCTTCTTGCGGCGTTATCAGTTGTCTTTAGAGGTTTTCTCGAAATATATTCCAAGTTTCGCAACACTAAACATAAAACACAAAGCGTAAACAAGAAGTATCTCTGGATTATATCTGCGTTGCGATTGGACCGATGGGTGATGAGTGGCGAAGTTAGTCACAGCGACGTTGCCAGATGATCGGTACTATCGGTAGGGTAGCGGTGAAATTTCTGGATCGCAAGTGGATATGCCTGTTTTACTAACTGGATCCAGTTGATTGTTTTGTTGTACATATTCGTCGCTAACTTTTTTTTTCAGAGGGTCTAGCTTGGGCAGAATATAATCTTTTATGTACTGAAATCAGCGTTGTCTGGGAACTGCAGTATCAATCTACTAGCAATTTGCAAGGCAAATGTACTCAGTTTCATACCCGTTAATGTCATCCGAAATCCTGTGTTTCTGCCACGTATTGGGCAAGTTCCCCTATTTTACATTTATGAGTCAATTTTCCGTATTCGATTAAAATAATGTCACGTGGGAGCTTAACAGCTCCATGAATGACGGGCGTTTTGCATCCTGTATCCCGAAATTCCATTAGTCTATAAACAAAATCGGTCAGCACGGAAAACACATTTGTAAAAGAATTGCTAGTTCGGCTTCGGTCATTCAACCATCAAAATTAGGCACAACTAAAGCTACTAAATTGATTACGAAATGAATAAATGAACAGAGTTCATTACGGCACCATTTGTTACAGTTCACTCTCGATATAGTAATAAAATCTAATGGAAATAATTTTGCCGGAGCTGAAGGTTTGTTGATCAATATAGAATTGGACAACAAACCAAGGCATAATGGAGATCGAATAAGAATAAAGGACGTATAACTAGACAAAGCTAAAAACAAATAAATTACATCGGACTATTTTCACAGAAGTTAAAACTACTGGAAATCATAAAATCAATCGTAAGCGCTACTTAAAGTGGTTGGGTTAACCGTTAACATACACAATACATGCAACCTTACGATAGAAGACTAGCAGAAGCTGAAACGCTTCAAAACTGTCAAACGTACAAGGTCTGTAAATTAAGTGATGGGACTCGCAACGTAGCACTCAGCTTGGGGGGAAGACAGGGGAACATGTGATCCACCTTCAGTACAACTTTAAACCCGCTCAAATCATATGCAAGGACTATACAGCGTGTCTGAAGAGATTCGCAACCCCACGATAATTTATGAACTAATAATGGTACGAAAAGACTAAACCCCGCGATTGAAATGAGTTTTCCAATTTATTCAATGGTGTCCGTGACAATAACCTTCAAGGTCATTTGAAGGACAAGTCGATTTTTTGTGGAACCCACATCCCGTAAATGAAAAAAAAAACTGGAAAATTCCCGTTCAAATATGGTCTTGACGATGCTTACGTTTTGACCTTACGAGGTCACGGTCAACGCAAACTCAGGTACGGTGATATAACCTGAAAGCTAGTAGTCATGTAGCGAAACTGCCGAAAGATTTTTTTCACGATTTTCCCCGGATATCCAACGGTGACCTTGAATCTGACCTTGGTTATGACTTTTAGTGTCATTTGAAGGTCAACTCTTTTTTAATGGGATCCTATACTGTTAACCGCAAAAATGGAGAAAAGGGACATTTTATGTTCGAATATGTCCTTGATCATTCTTGGAACTGTGTAATCCAAAGACTCCACTGGTCTTTTAAGATCGTTCCCTGGCTACAAAAATCGACTTGACCTTGAAGCTCATTTTGAATGAAGCAAGAGCTAATACATTTTGTTAATTAAAATCATTGATATTCGGTTCTCCTATTTTTGTCTTTTTTTGTGGACTCAAAACTAAAACGTCACTTAAATAGTAATAAATATCTATTGAAAAGTTCTGAATGCAAAGAAGCAACAACAGCAGCGGTAACTCTAAAGCCGTAAACGCCATTCGGAATAAATTTTAATAAGCCGCAGACGATATTTACCGGTTATACCGCCATCGGGAATACGCCGGGCAGACAGCATGCGCGCGCTATATATTTTTGACTGGAACGCGCCACCGTATATATACACCAGTATGATTACGTGGAATTTATATGCACACGTTGCATGGGCATTGGGGCTCGTAAACAAATGCCTGCTACGACACCCCGGTGATATTGGATGTTACTGAAACTAGCACACTGCTATTTATATTAAGATAAGGGGTTGAACTACCAGCCAAGCTGAAGATGCGTCCATCCAGGACTCCTTTCCAGGGGAGCAGTAAGTATAGGTGGGTGTGGTTCTCTTCCCTGACAAGTGGATCCTAATTCTAACACTCTTGTCATTTGCGGGGTAAGTTTGTGAATACATTTTCGGCCAAACTATATATTCCTGAATACTTGTCTAGGTGCCGATTTCACAAAGATTTGAATTTGACGGGGCTTCACCAATAAGGGAGTAGCTTATTGAAATGCCATTTTAAGGAAGCTGTAAAAGCTCTCCTAATATCGCTGATTTCTATTGAAATATTGAATAAAATCGTGAAAAAGTGGTTGCTTTATGTATAAGGATGCATTATAGATTTAATATTATGTCTTTGAGCTTTAGAATTAGGATAACTTTCATAGAATTTCCAATTCCTATCATTTCACAAAAGACGAGCTGTTATTTAAATGGACCAATGAAAATGAGAGAAATAATAGGTCGATTTTCTAGCTATTATATTTAATAGCACGTTTTCACCGTTTTTGACGACTGTGCATGCATGCCTCTATATCACGTACAGGGTGTTGTACATAATACGTACCTGTAGGATATATCCACTTCAAGTCCATGCATAGACAGTCTGAAACCTGCAATGTGAATTTATATTCTAAGCAGACCGATTCATATTCGTCAATATTACATTTGAAGCTTGTAATTTTAGCAAAATGCAAAAAGTTACGGCAACACCGCACCCTGCAACCCAGTTGACAAGAACGACAAGTTATCAAGATTAAGGATGTTTCGATCCACAAAAAGTATCTATATGTATTGATCCTTATCGTTTAAAAGGAAGTATCGATACTCTAAAATATGGGAATAAAATTATTGATACCCAGCGGAAGGAAACAAAGAAAAGTAATCTGAATTTGGTCACTGGTCCTAACACAATCCGGTTTGCTAGCAGGTTTACGACATATATTTCGATATCTATTAATCGCTGTGAATATAGTGTGGATGTTTGTTAAGTTGCTGAACAATGAAAAATATTCAACTTTATGGATGTATGGATATTAAAAAACCAGAATGGTTTTGTGGGAATATCAATCTAAGGTGCCATAATGGTTCTGATGAACGGCAAGTAAATGAATGCATGTTTGGAAACGAGCAATATCTATGAAATTTTTGGTAGAGCCTGTCATCAAGTAGGTGCTTAATGGCTATCTGCAAGAGGCTTATAGGAAAAAAATACACGGTAGCTGACGTTGAATCAGTAAAATCGCATATCAGTTAAAGAAAATAATATAAACATGAATAAACAATCGACAATATTAAAAAAACATGAATTTTATGAGAAAGTCAAACACTCTTTTAAATTTGGACTGGCTTATATGTAATTAATTTAATAATATTTAAAAAGCTGGTGATGCTTCAATGACAAGCTGTCATCTCATACTTTGACAATATTTTTTTTCAACATTTCATAGCTATTGGTTGCTAAAATTTGTTGATTTTATCTTGAAGCTCCTTCGCTGTAGTTGATGAACTGTTTGACAATCCTGGTGAAATCCACCCTTAATCCACCGATTCTGGGATAAAAGGCTCAAAGTACTTTACTCAAAAAGCCAATGTTCCATCGTTAATTTGATGTCTTGTTCAGGGCTACAAAATGCAAAAATGAATTTCAAAAAGATACAAAAATACCAAAAAGGTTACGTGTATAAAGACATATTAAGTATCTTGTAACTTGTAAGTTACTACTAACTCTCCCACCAGTATTGAAGACAAACTTGCACCAAAAATACAACAGATTAATTTTCATGCAAAGACCCGGCACTTCATAATTACTATTTCAAATTTCTGTGCTGTTCTTTCGAGCTGGCATCATGAATCAAAGGATGACGAAGCTACGTAGTTACCAACTAACATTATCGATGCAGTTCCACCCTATCGCTTGACACTTTCATTAAAGACTCCTGATGAAGCACTTGGCAGTTATGAGGATTATAATCAGCTCCGGTTATGTAGTCGTTACAAATCTTAATCAATTCATTATTAGCCGGTTCGATGGAGAAATTGCCAATTGCTGCGCTACTCGCCGACTCAGCTAAATTAACCCTTAAAATAAACACGACTTGCATTTTGTAGTCACTTAAGACGCGTTCGTTTATTACCTCGCTCTAGCTACAATCTAAAATATGCTGGAAATACGGGGAACGTAGAGTGTTGTAATAGTATTGAATACGCATCGCTTGAGTAATCAGAGGAAACAATCCGTCTAGCATCGATATGTATAAATCTAATGCTTGCCTCAAATACAAAAAAAACTATTGCATACTGTGGCGGATTTAGGCTCCCCCCTACCTAGTCGTCTGACACTTGCTTTTGTAATCTAACACCATTGTGTTACTTTCTGACACATCATGGCGACAGAGGCATACTAACTATACTAAGTGACATATAAATCCGAACACCCAGTTTAAATGGTTTTATTTTAATAAAAGTTGGTGAATGTATTTATCTTACTGTAAATAACAAATGAAAAAATTTTCAGCCGCATCAGTTGGACATTCCGGTTTTTATACTGCTTTTTTTTAATTCACTAACGCACCAAAAATGAATATTTCAGCCGCAGTAAAGAATCAACGTTGGCGGATTTTAGTTCTTGACATCCTTTACGATCGGTTACGATGTCTAGAGTACGGAGACCTGTACGATTTCGTCAACTTGTGTGAGTTTGATAGGGGCCGTATAGTGGGACTTCGGGAAGCTGGACTTTCTTTTCGGGCAATTGCAGTTAGAGTGCAAAGAACTGTAGACACTGTGGTTAGGTGTTGTCAGGCAAGGCTTCGAGAAGACCGTACGCAAAGAGCAAGGGGCACTGGACGCCGCCGGAGAACAACAGACCGTGAAGGTCGCCGCCGGAGAACAACAGACCGTGAAGGTCGCCGCCTAAGATTATTGGCCTTAAGGGAGTGTTTCTCCACTACCAGGTCCATTGCAAATGAATGGTTTGCAGAACACGGAAGACCTATTGGCATGCGAAGTGTTTACCGACGAATGAGAAGTTTTGGCTTGTTTTCATACCGGCCACACTGGGTCCTCCCTTTAACTCGAGAACACCGACGTAATCGCCTTGAGTGATGCAGACAACGGTCACTCTGGGATCAGAAATGGAACAGTATTGTCTTTAGTGACGAGTCTCGATTTTGTTTAGGCATGCACGATGATCGTGCCAGGGTTAGAAGGCGACGTGGTGAAAGGAGGTAACATGAACGCGCAGCGTTATATCCACGAAGTTCTAGAACCCCATCTTTTACCCTATCTTGACACCCTGGCAGATCCAACTTTCCAACAATATAATGCGCGACCACATGTTGCAAGAGTCACAATAGACTTCTTTCAACATAATGATGTCACATTGTTACCATGGCCACCAAGATCTCCCGACTTATCCCCAATTGAGCACGTGTGGGATATGATGGGTAGGAGATTGCTCAGTTTGCAACGTCCTCCTCAGACTCTAGAAGCACTTCGAGAGGAGTTGGTGGTTGCCTGGAATGAGATACCACAGGAGTACATTGACCACCTGATCAGAAGCAAGCCTAGGTGCGTTGGAGAATGCGTAGCACATCAGGGTGCATCCACACATTATTAAAGGTCAAAGGGCTTTAAAGCAGTGCAATCATTTTGAAATTTTTATCATTTACTTATTATGCTTCATTAAGTACTTATACAAATTTTTATTAAAATAAAACCATTTAAACTGGGTGTTCGGATTTATATGTCACTTAGTATATAAGTTATAGCTATAGGAACTGAAGATTGCGATTTTTTGGTATCCTTTGGTATTCAAACGCTGTCCCATTTACGTTTACAGCACAATTCTGAGTAATATATTAGTTATACAGATTGCACTTGTTAGATGAACGCCTTAATGGGAAATAGACATTCATGAGATTCGTTTAGTGGTGCGCCTGTAGCCTGGCCAGAAAATGCGACCCGCACCTCTTCCCGCGTAATGTCTACTTATGTTGCTAAAATGAAGTCGTTTAAATCACAGAGCTTCTGAACTACACGTGAATATGTACAGCCCCGAATTCCTGTAGTTGTTGCGTACAAACATAGATAATCCAAATAATTACGAACTAACAGACATAGTTTTTTTCCAAAGATTTTCAACATTTTTACATGCGATCAACACTGATTCGAAAACTGAGAAAACAGCAACTATGCCGTACATCTAAGTGCGACAACGAAAGTCTGAAACATGGCTGTAACATCTATTTCAATTTCGAAAAATAATTGACTATACCAATTGATATTTTCATCACCTGCTGATAGAACAGAAGTGCTTGATTGTGACTGTATTTGCATCAATTACTTGATTTGTTTAATGGGCAGTTCAGAGCCTTAATCCTTAAGCTTAGTACACACTAGTAGACCCCTTTGCGCAATTTGTTTATATTCAGTCTGGAGACGGTCTCAGGACACGATCTCTTCCTGTAGATGGTCTATAGACATCCTTGTTTGACTCGTCTAGCGTCCATACGATAATGTGAATTTTTCGGTCTCATGTTGGTTTCCGCCATCAAAGACTTTGTTTTGTGTGGAATGGACTACGATATGTCTCGGGGCCCTCAGAATGTTTTTTTTTTCGAATAACAGACCAATTAAGTTTTTTATGTTTTAATCTTTAATATTATTACACTAGTTAATTATAAATGTCACGTACTTATTTTGTTCTCATATATTATAATATTGCCTTTCTGAGGATTTCTGAGCATTTTCCATTTTTTTTTTTCAAGCTGGCATCGACCAGATAGAACAGAATGGATTTAAGGACCAATAATAGGATAAATTCTAGAAGTTCCACTGAGGTTAAAAAATTGCCAGCCCCAAATGTCGTTTACGCCCCCTAGACGAAATCCTAAATCCGCCCTTGAAGGATACTTATTTGGCTGCCCTAAAGTGAAGATTTTTGAGAAGCCATCAATTCCACACCTGATACCAAAAAGTGGGAGTAAAATAATGGAGCTTATGGTTCTTAATACGAGACTAGCTTAAGCTTAATAAGTGCTGAAAGGCTTCACAAGCGACGTACGCTAACCATATTTACCTAACCAGTAAACCACGTCACGGATGCTTCCATTGTATTACATTTTAGACGACTTTGTGGATAATCGTGAACTGGTATACGATCTTCAAGACACTTCTATCTACTATCGACAAACTATTGGTTGTCGGAAAAGTCATGACGCTTTTTTTTGTTTATTTTAAGGCCATTTTATTCATATACAGCACAAACTTCAATCAATAATGTATTGCCCATTTTGATCGATGACCTTTCGCCATCTTTCAGGCAGCTTCATAATTCCTCGCTCGTAGAAGGATTTGTCTTTACCGGCAAAAAATTGAACAAGGTGCTGATGTACAGCTTCATCTGAAGTAAAGCGTATTTCTCGCAAGGAATTTTGAAGCGACCGAAACAAATGAAAATCAGATGGGGCAAGATCAGGCGAGTATGCTGGATGTGGTAACACATCCCATCCTAACTCCAATAACTTTTGACGAGTGAGCAAACTTGTGTGCGGTCTCGCGTTGTCATGGTGGAACACAACTCCTTTGCGATTAATGAGCTCCGGACGTTTTTGCATGATGGATTGTTGCAAACTGTCCAATTGCCGACAATACACAGTTGTATCGATGGTTTGGTTCTTTGGCAGGAGTTCGAAAAACACGATCCCTTTAAAATCCCACCAAACAGAGAGCATCACCTTTTCCTGATGACTCTCTGCTTTCGCGATCGTGTTACGCGTATCTACACTTCGGGACCAAGACCGTTTGCGAACCACATTGTTGTAAACAATCCACTTTTCATCTCCCGTTATCAAGCGCTTTAAGAAAGGATCGTTTTCCTCACGTTTAAGGAGCATATCGCAGATGTCTACACGCGCCATCAAATGAACCTCTCTCAGTTCGTGTGGTACCCAACGAGTTTGCTTACGTATCCCAGTTTCTTCAAATGGTCGTGAACGGTTGAATGATGGATTTTTAAGGTTTCTGCAATTTCCCGTGTGGTGTAATGTGGGTTTGCTCCTACCAATGCCTTTAATTCGTCACTATCCAACTCAGTAGGCCGCCCTGATCGAAGTGCGTCATGGATATCAAAATCCCCATCTCGCAATTTTTAAACCATCTCTGGCATTGCCGTTCTTGTAGTGCATGTTCTCCATAAACCTTTCTCAACTTTTCACACGCTTGTCTTGCGTTCTTGCCTTTGCGGAAGTAATACAGCAAAATGTGACGAAAATGCACAGTTTGGTCGTCCATCTTCAACGTCCTCTAAAATCGACGAGACTCAAATAAATCACTTAATTTTTTGGTGCAAATGAAGCTTGAAGTGTCAACTGTCAAACTACACAATCAACATACAAATGTCATTGACTCACGTACTTCCAACCATGCAATTGCATACTTTGTTGCATATACGTCATGACTTTTCCGACAACCCAAAGTGATATACAATCAATCGAACAATGTTGTAACAACACTTACTTGACTTTCAATGTTAATAAGACAAAATTTGTGACATTTAAGTGCCCCTCGATTTTATAAATTTAAATAATATGTTGATACACAAAAAAGGTGCGTATTCCGCAAAAACGAAATATTAGGTATACTTATAACTAACAGCAAGCCTAGAACTACATGCATGCCTTTATTTGTAAATCTAAAATAACGACTGTCGTATCGTTGTTCATTTTAAAAAAAGCACCTCATTTTTAAAACTAAATCTAAATTTGAAGCATCAATTATAATTTAAGATATTAGATGATGGCAAGATCTTAAACTAGTTATATCTAGAGCAACGCTCGTGAAAGACTCAATAATTTATAATGATCTGATAATTTACATGCGTCTCCCGGATGCTATCAAAAAAATTAGCAATTGACAGATATTGCGCCGTGAGTTTAAAAATCTTTTAATATGTAAACCATATTACACCTTGTGTGAGATCTACAATTCACCTGCTTGAGATCCACATATGTATATTATGTTACAGTTTGGTTTTAAATTAGCTTTGTCATTAAGAATGATTGTATTTTCCAGACAAGAAAGCATATTTATCCATCTACAATAAAAAGCATTAAACTTTGAAGTAGAGTATTGAATCTGATGTGGTTGCATCTGCCACTAGAGAATTAGGAAGCTATCAAACACAATCTTTCTGGGAAAGTTTGCGGACGAACGAGACACTAAAGTCGGAAAGTTTTCGATAGGTAATATTGATTAATGTCCTTTAGCGAGAGAGGAAGCAGCTGACTGGACATAAATTCTGACCTTTTTCATAGTTACGGCTCCATAATAAAAGTATTACTTAGTGATGTTTAAACTATCATTGTGAAATTGTGAAATATAACTGTTTTCTTCCAATCTCCTGTAAGATGGCCTAAGGCACATTACATAAGTCTATGAAAGGCGTTAGATGTTGTTTAGAGATGGTGGGATACGCACTGAATCAGTGACTAATACCAGAAGTTCATATTAAGATTGTTTTTCGTGAATCGCTTACGGAAATAAGGTTTCCTATAAATGTATACTGGAAATCCGTTTTTCCTAAATAACTTTTGAATGATACTACATAATTTAACCGAATTCTGTGAAGTTGCATTACGTTGCTCATGTAAAACGATGGACAGGAATAAACTTGCTCTATGGTATTTTTCCTGACTTTCTTACACAATAATGTCTCGAATATGATATTGGAAAGCCTAGGAATTTGGCTTGTTTGATTTTAATAAGATGAGCGGTTTTCGATAAAATGCGATCTCCAAAGAGTTCACTCTGATGATAACCTGGGGTTTGCAAGCAGCTGATTGAGAATATGCTATCATTTTTTCAGGTAGTAGATCCGATATTATATTCTTAGTATACATAAACTTATTCGATAAACAATAATAACATATCAATATAATACAAGAAACAGAAATACTCAATGTCGCCTAATCACGCCAAAAAATGACATTATGTCAAGTTCGTTTATGTTCCAGTGTCCGCTAATATACAACCATATATACTAAAATAACTAAAAAATTTGATAAACAAAATTTAAAGTAAAATTGAGAAATCACTTGTTAAATCTACAATTATAGGTTACCCAGCATTTACATCATACACCATATGGCTTAAATTTACTAGTTCTAAGTTGTTTACAATTGTTCTGTTTATGTAGCCAAATGTGCTAAATAAATCTTTCTACTACTACTACTACTAATTTAAAATATAAATAATATATTGGATAACAATTCTACTAAATTATCTCATTCTGAAACAATAAACATTAAAACTTTGAGATCATATAATACATATATTTAAGAATTGAAATCACATATACACTGTTACCGTGAAAATTTAAGTATGTACCGTCAGATCGGGGTACTTTAGCCCTACGGTGCTACTTAAGCCCAAACTGTTAAAAAGTATTCGCTTTCTGCCATGCCAGCTCATTGCGACGTATCGATGTAGTTCGCCTAGTAATCAATAGATGACTCTATAGTGATATTATTAGTACATTATCTGGGGCTCACAGCGCATGCGTAGATTTGAGGTTAGGACAACAAGTATCTGTCTGCAGAACAGTGAATTTATTGTGTGCAAACTTTCTGACGAAGCCAAGTTATCAGGTAAGTTGCAGTTCTTTTACGTGATCAAATGTATCAGATATACATCTGAGATGATGTTGGAATACGAAACAAACGGTAAAAGTAATTTTTGTGGAGAATATATTCAAATTAATATATCAGTATATTTTGGCCCACGCTTTCGGGTATCTTTGGCCCATGGGCCAAAGTATCCTTATAATGATTTTTCATTATATTTTTACATAACCAGCTATATTAAGCCATTCAATCGGAATAATGCGTTACTTTTGACCTTTTAGATTCACAAAGATGCCTACCATCTATAGAAGGAAAGCGGGAAATCGTCGTTACATTGACTACACTAAAGAGCAGTTGGAGCAATGTTTAAATGACGTGAGATACAAGATACGGACTCAACGGGCTGCTGCAGCTAAGTATAAAATTCCTCGTAGTACGATAAAGAATAAACTGAAGAATAAGCACTGTAACATACCCGGCCATCTAACTATATTCACAACAGAAGAAGAACAAGCATTTGTTGCCCATGTTACAGCGCTCTCAGAATTTGGGTTTCCGATAACAGATATTGACCTCAAAATTATTATCAAAGACTACTTGTCGGCTCGTGGAAGACAGGTAAAACAGTTTAATAAAAACATACCTGGCACCGAGTGGGTCAGAGGATTTACTCAAGCGAAACAAGATTCTGTCTAGACGATTAACAAACAATATTAAAAAAGTAAGAGCAGCAATTTCAGAGCCAATTATTGAACAGTTTGTTGAAGATTTGACTGTAGAGTTAGACAATATTCCACCAGAGAATATCTACAACTACGATGAAAGTAGCCTTATCGATGACCCCGGAAAAAAGAAAGTAATTTGTAGACGTGGCACAAAGTATCCTGAAATGATTGTAAATGCTACAAAAGTAAGTTTTTCAGTCATGTTTTGTGGGAATGCCGTAGGGGAAACTGTTCCGCCATATGTTATTTTTAAGGCAGAGCATTTGTGGTCTACTTGGACTGAAAATGGACCACACGGAACCCGGTATAATAGAACCAAAAGCGGTTGGATTGATAGTATCACGTTTGAGGACTCGAATCTCATTTACTGCCAGTTTTAAAGAAAAAAGATGGCCGCAAAGTGATTATTGGTGACAACTTGTCCTCCCATATAAACAAAAATGTGTTAGCAGCATGCGAGGCCAGCAACATCAGTTTTATCTGTTTACCTGCCAATGCAACTCATATTCTTCAGCCACTTGATGTGGCATATTTCAGGCCATTGAAGATTAAATGGCGTCAAGTCTTGCTAGATTGGAAAAATACCCCAGAAGGAAGAAGACTTCCAACCGTGCCGAAGGATCAATTTCCTAGACTACTAAAAACTGCACTGGATAGCATGAAAGAAACCCAAAGTTATCTCGTAAACGGGTTCAGGAAAACTGGCATTTATCCTCAGAACGTAGAAGAACCTTTGAGTAGATTGCCAAGACAAGACAGAATTGTAGATCTCAATCTAATTTCCGGCGCTTTTATGCAAAATCTGAAGCAATTACGGAGTAACGATAGAATGAAGCCAAGAAGATAAAGCTAGATGTACCTGCTGGTCGATCCATTCGCTCAGAAGGTATTTCAGACAGAGAACAAGCTAGTCCTTCAGGAGTAAATAGATCAGATTCTAAGAAAAATGCAAAGTCCAGGAAGCGATTGATTAGTGAGGTTTCCTCTTCAGAATGCAGTGACACAGACATAAGTTTGGCATCTTCTACTGAAGATCTCATTCTGGCACGAGATCAATCTGATGATGAAGAGGACAACTTACGCCTAGCACAGCTTACAAATCGCAATCCCAGAAGAAACTATGATGGAAATCTGGAGGCGCTTGGGCCATCAACTCAGCTACCAGAGCCCATTCCTCCGGATTGCAACACAAGGTTTATTGAAGATCCGCTTTTAAGAAACTGTTCGAAGTCTGACGGTCAAAGTTGCAGTAATGAAGACGAAAATAAAGAAGGGCCGCCTATGCCAAATAAAATTAATCCAGATGATGTACAAAAAGCGGAAGAGGAATATCAAAATGGCGATGGTTACTGTATCAATGATCATGTATTGGTTAAGTGGAATTCACGTGTTTATCCAGGGAAAATCATATCGATATCTGCAGAGGGAGCGCTAATAAGTTGTATGAAAAAAGGAAAGTTCTGGAGATGGCCTAACATAAAAGATGAGCAATTATACGCTTGGGAGTCAGTGATAACAAAGATTGGAGTACCAAAATTCGTGAAAAATGGACAATTTACTGTACCTGAACTTGATAAAATACGTTCTTTATAAATTAAGCCATAATTTAATTGATTAATTTGAATATGTCTTGACAAGATTCTCAATTTTGAAGACTGATGAGCAACTCTAGACTGTTAAGTTCCTACCTCTTGTTTACTTCACTATTGTAATAGCTGAGAGATGTTTTGTTTTTATTTTTAGTATTGAGGTACTTCTAGTAAATGTATTTCGTAATAAGAGAGAAGACTGCCTGATTTTGTTAAAATAAATAAGAAAAAGTCATATGCTGGAAGTATTTTTAATTTTTGTGACTTTTTTTAGTTTTTTTGTGCAATAAAAAGTGCCTAACAATAATATAATATGTCTTTCTTTCATATTTGCCGATATATACTGTTTACTTTGCTCCACCATTCCATATCAATACGTTGTAATACTTAAAAACCAAGCAGGTCAAAGAAACCATCTCTTAAGTAAAACTTTGGCCCTAACTTTTAAAAAAAATTGTCTAACCCCGAAATTATATCAGCGTTTTTAGACTATAAATGTGTTATTCATATCCCTACTAAACATTTGTATAAATAACACAAACATAGCATCTTTAAAACTGAAGTAATTGTAAGGGCAATAAAAAATATCATTATTTTGGGACAAAGTACCCCGACCTTACGGTACATCTAGTTTTGAATGATTTTTAGCTTATTCAAACCACCGACAGTTTGTGGTATTCCTTTTTCAATTTATCCACTAAAGTTGTCCAAATACTGTGATTAAATTATTATTATTATTATTATATAATTGACTCGTTACCAATGTTTGTGGATTTTTTCTTTCAAGAACGAGTCACCTTATTGCCAGTTATAATCCTTGAGCTTGCCTGAAATCACCAAATTTCATTACTGCTGGCACGCTCCTGGAGATTTGATTGAGTTAGTCGTTTTACATGGATACTTTTATGTGGGGAGCTCTAATTTCTAACTATGCTGCAAAAATTTCGTTAAATTGTAAAGTCTCATTTTAGTATAGTTGAAGAGAACCAATTTCCACTGGATCCATAGAACATTTTCAATAAGAAATTGTGACATTGTTTTGTATCTTGCACCCATTAGGGAGATTGGCATCTTTTCTACGAGAGCCTGTATGAACCCAAAAATATATCAATTAGCTTAACTTTCTGCACTTCCTCCGCAACTTCCATAAAAGTATATGTACGAAACAAACTTGAAAAATACAACTACGAATATGTATATCTAAGGTATTTAATGGATCAGGTCTGTCAAATAGGCCCATACAATTAGCCCCTTCCATTTGACAATGTTGGGATCTACTAGCAGTCTGCCCCACTTCGTACACGTAACTGCCGTATCATGTTGTTGAGTCGCACATCTGGATTAGATTAAGATGTGTCTGATGTGCGCCCAAATTGGATTATTCTTTATGCATTTTATTTCTGATGTTAAAAATATTGAAAAAATGAGTAGATATCTAATCATTTATACTTCTTGGTATACAATATTGAGACCGCTGGATTGTGGGTAAAGAGGAACATAATATGTTTAGATTTCCAATGCGTGAAAAAAGCAATGAAAAATGGCGTGAGTGACGGCATTGGCCTTCACCATGCACAGTGACACATCCCACGTCAGTGCAAAAGCGATTGCCGACTGTGACATACGGCCACCGTCGACGTCGCTTATCCATCCTGGGGACCACGTATCGACACCCGACTGTAAGAGGTATTTCTAGTATTAAGGGTAAATGTATCATCTATGATGAGTGACATATGCCTAATGTGTGTGCCGAATTACTGAGCTTGGATGCGTATAAGCATACCAACTTAAAAAAATTGAGATAGTCCCTCCCCCCACCGTCTGCAACTCCTAACCTTCAATTTTCTTACTCCTAAAAATGTTTTACGAAAATGGTCAGGATCGTTTGAATTGTCAAAAAATAAAGTTCGGATGGTGTTTATTTTTTTTATTTTTGGCCACTAGACCGATTTTAATAATAATAATAAAGCATTTATTGCCCAACAGTACACGTACCATTTAGAGAGCAATACATAGTACAATGGTTTAATTTACACAGTGAAACAAAAAAAACACAAAAAATAGGAAGGCACTTTAAGTAGAGAGAAAAGAAACTATGAATATGATTAATAGATATTAGGAAACCAGAATATACTCATATATATACATACATATCCATATACACATACATATATATATATCTATATATATATATATATATACAGATATAACAACAAGTAGGATGTGTGGGCATGTGTATCTACTTTTGTAGTTTCATATGTGCATTCATTTCGGGCCTGATGAAGCCAACCAGCAGAAATACGTATCGCTCGGGTTACCTATCCTATTTTCTGCTTGAAGTACCACAGCAAGTGGCTATAACCGGCCGCGTGGTGGTGGTTAGACGTCTCCTTGAAAATTCGATGTCGTATAGCCATTTTATACTACAATGTGTAGGTTGGCTCTTGTTGTGGACTTCGTGTGTCGTATACAGATATATATATATATATATATATATATATATATATGTAGCCATATCATGTAATGTTCACACATAAATATATAACAAACGAGAACCTCTAGAGAAAGGCGTAAAGAAACGTATACCATTTCGTAATTCCTGAAATCCACAACAGAAGATATCACAAAAACACACAATCCTATTCGCATTATTGCACATAAAGCTTATTGATGCTTTAGATAGAAGATTTGTCTGTGCCATCTTGCAGAAAAAGTAAACTTTATAGTTAGATATCAATCTAGGTGCCAGGAAATTAATTTGCGTTAGCATCACTCCTATAGGATAGATATTTCAGAAATTACAGTTACAGTTCATAGATATGGCTACAAGTAACTGCACCGTATTCTAGTTTACTTATAACAAGCACTGAAAATAACTTAATAAGCGATTTTGGAAAACTACAAAGCGTTTCTGTCAGCGGCATAGTAGTAACATTGTGTAAAAATTTCAACGAAAACCGAGCGGTACTGCTCAAATAATAGGCGGCTGTAAGATTAGCGGACATGCCGACAGACAGAGAGACCGACCAACGGAAACGAATAACATGGTTTTTCGTGATGTACATGTCATACAGAGTCCAAAAAAAACAATATGTCATTTTTTAAAATGTTCGCGATTACAATACTTTACCGCCAGTAGACGTGGAAATAAAAACATGAAAACGTAAAATATCAAGAACTAGTGAACGGAGAAATAAATAACGTGTGTAATATGTATTAATACCCTACATACCCCAACTCCTGGAGAAAACACAGAGTTTGAGCGGTTTTTATTTTTTTCTTCGTTTTTTGCCTTCCATACCGCCGCCACTGAACCGTTTTCTAAAAATTGCAAGGCTTTTTCCATGTTATAGATAGACCAAGGATCAGTAGGCATGGGAAGTAAAAGCAAGCTAAAGATATGGTCTCTTTTATCAGTGCTTTTAACCAGTTAAGTTGCTACACCACAACCAACAACAACGATGATGACCTTATTAAATTTACATTTTATTCTGTGGTTCTGTTTTGTGTGATGTTTACTCGTATCTTTTCCAATAATGAAAACGCAGTATATTATATTGGAATGAAGCGAAAGCTTATGCTAGTTTGGTTTGGTTACCATTTAAGTTGCACCGGAACGCATCTTGCAATTTATCTCCGTCTTCAGCTGGCCAACTAGTTGCGCATTATCCGAGAAGTCGCAACTTCCGACTAAAGCTCCGTCAGCGTTGGCTGCACCTGCCATTGGAGGGATTACGACGCCAGCACACACACTCTTCCCGGGAAACTTTGCCGACAACCGAGAGACTCCGGCTGGGAAAGCTGGGAAATCTCCGATAGCTAATATTGATAAATGTCCCGTTTGTGTCAGCCCGGAAGGAGTGTCACCCGGACTGCTGCTGGCGTAATCCGCGTGTCGGTCACTTGGATTTTAATACAGTCAAAACATTCGTACAGTATATTCACCGGATCAAAGCTATTCCGTCACAACGTCAAATAATGACAGTGACGCACATGGTTGCCACGTTAATTAAAACTACTAGATCCTAGTATACTTTATGTATTCGATGCAAAATGCTTAAAAGGACACCTCAAAGCTTTGAAAAAACTGTTTTTATAGAAAAAATTCAAATATTGAGAACGAAAATAAACCACAAATAAACAACAGCCGTTGCCGTAATTATTATACCTGACAAGCTTTGCGACAATGTTACAACACAGAAAACTGTTACCAACATAAATGTATCCGGGAAATTCAAACTATAGGTGTATCAATTTAAGATCTATTTTGCATTAAGGTTAGCATTCAAATTTACTAAGTATGACGTAACTGCTTTGTATCAGTGAAAGGACTACAGTTCGATAACGATATTATCGATCCAAAAAATGGCGTCAATCAAGACTATTCAATCGGATTAGTCCTACGCACCTGCTAACCCTCAAAACTCAATTAGTTCTAGCTGGACGCTAGTCATATAAAGATAAGGTGTTACTTGCGATATCCAGATATACACAGAATGCGACTGTCACTCCTGTGAATTTCTCTAATTACACTGATAAGCACAGGATTTGTGACATGACAATTTTTAGGTGTATCTTATGTACTTTGAGACCCTTAAATAAAATCTAAAAACAGAATTTTCACCCACAGATATTCGGTAACATTTACTTTTATGAATTACAATACGTAACATCTCATACTGCTGCATTTCTCGGCGTTTATGTGATGACGCACATATATAATGTTAAGACCTGTCTATTCCTGTTTATTATATGCGAGCTCTATGTTTAGAGAGCATATTACGTTTGTTAGTAGACTAACAGCAGCCGAGAACTCTTCAACACAGAAAAGTTACGTTTTCTGTGTTGAAGGGTACTGAAATGTTCTGAGTACTGTTAATTTTTGTTAAAACGGTGTGCTGTTCTTAGTTTATTGTGATCGAGACTAGCTTCATGGACAATGCCTAGAAATTGTGTAAATAGTGCGAACAAATGTGCGGAGAGCCAACTTTTAAATCCTAAAATCGTACTTTTACTCCCCTTGTGTTTGACCTGCCAGGATGTTCAACAGCGCCGCATTTGATCACACAGGGCGAGCTTAATGACTTAGTTCGAGAATTAAATCTGTCAAAATCCCAGTCAGAACTTTTAGCCTCAAGATGGAATCTTCTCCACGGTGACGTTAACATTACTTTTTACCGAAAACGACAACAAGACCTCACACACTGTTTCCGTCAAGAAAGGGAGTAAATATATTGCTCCGAAGTCAACAATCTGTTTGACACGTTAGGACAGAAACATGATCCAAATGATTGGCGCCTGTTCATCGATTCCTCTAAGCTTAGTTTAAAAGCGGTATTGGTACACAACGGTAATAAACACCCATCCGTACCTATAGCGCACGCAGTTCATATGCAGGAATCATATGAAACTATGAGTATGGATGGGCTATATACGTATGTGCAGATTTAAAGGTAATAGCCCTTCTTCTTGGAATACAACTGGGATATACCAAATATTGTTTTCTTTGTGAATGGAACAGTCGTGCGCGAGATCGTCATTATGAACAGAAGCAGTTTCCACTACGTCAGGGTGGCTTCCACCTTTGCATATTAAGTTGGGACTGATGAAATTTTGTGGAAGCTATGGATCGAAATGGAAGAGGGTTTCAGCATTTAAAACAAACATTTCCAAGACATAGCGGGGAAAAAATTAGAAAGGGCAGATTTGTGGGTCCACAAATACGGAAAATCATAAAGCATGATGTATTTGACAATGCTCTAAATAAAACTGGATAACGATCTTGAAATGCTTTTAAATCAGTCACCGCAATTTTTTTAGGCAATGGAAAGGCGGACAATTATAAAGATATTGTGAGTGAACAATGGTTATAAATAAACAGGATGTAACATGTCTCTAAAAATTTTTGGAGTCTCATCTCGATTTTTTCCGGAAAATATAGGTGCGATAAGTGATGTACATGGTGAACGGTTCCACCAAGGCATTTCTGCTATGGAAAAACGGTATCAACTCAAATGAAGTGTCAATTTGCTTGCTGATTATTGCCGGACATTGTTAAGAGATACTTCAGAAGCAACATATCGCCGTAAAACATCGACAACAACATTCTGAGATTAATGTTTATTCGAGTGTTTATTAGTACTCTTACACACATAGCCTTATATTTTACGAGTATAAGCAGCAAATAAAATGCCTTATTGCAAGAAAACGGTGGGTGATAGAAATAATCGAATGCTATTTCCTACTTTTTGGGTACGTTTTACAGAATAACCACCTTGCTTTGTCCATTTCACAAAAAAATATTTCAATTTTATTCACCAGTGTTATTGTCAAAAGTCAAGAATAAGAAAATAGCGTCAGATAGAGTTTATGCTTCATACGCCTTCGTTGGAGGTTTTGAAGAAACAGGATGAGTCGAATCGTTTCAAAAGGCTAATTCGAATCGTGATTAGCTAGGTTCATTCAGGTACCAGGAATCTCCGACATCTGCATATCAAACTATATAAAGCAAATCGATCATATTTCTGTTTCCATGGCAGATGTAGGGAAAACATGTGTGTGACAAGCTTTGCGACAATGTTACAACACAGAAAACTGTTACCAACATAAATGTATCCGGGCAATTCAAACTACAGGTATCAATTTAAGATCTATTTTGCATTAAGGTTAGCATTCAAATTTACTAAGTATGACGTAACTGCTTTGTATCAGTGAAAGGACTACAGCTCGATAACGATATTATCGATCCAAAAAATGGCGTCAATCAAGACTATTCAATCGGATTAGTCCTACGCACCTGCTAACCCTCAAAACTCAATTAGTTCTAGCTGGACGCTAGTCATATAAAGATAAGGTGTTACTTGCGATATCCAGATATACACAGAATGCGACTGTCACTCCTGTGAATTTCTCTAATTACACTGATAAGCACAGGATTTGTGACAGGACAATTTTTAGGTGTATCTTATGTACTTTGAGACCCTTAAATAAAATCTAAGAACATAATTTTCACCCACAGATATTCGGTAACATTTACTTTTATGAATTAAAATACGTAACATCTCATACTGCTGCATTTCTCGGCCTTTATGTGATGACGCACATATATAATGTTAAGACCTGTCTATTCTTGTTTATTATATGCGAGCTCTATGTTTAGAGAGCATATTGCGTTTATTAGTAGACTAACAGCAGCCGAGAACTCTTCAACACAGAAAAGTTACGTTTTCTGTGTTGAAGAGTACTGAAATGTTCTGAGTACTGTTAATTTCTGTTAAAACGGTGTGTTGTTCTTAGTTTATTGTGATCGAGAATAGCTTTATGGACAATGCCTAGAAATTGTGTAAATAGTGCGAACAGTTTTTGTTATGTGTGCGGAGAGCTAACTTTTAAATCCCAAAATCGTAATTTTACTCCCCTTGTGTTGAAAGCATATGAACTTTATTTTGGAATTAAAGTTGGCGACCAAGATAAACTATGGGCCCCTCATATATGTTGTAAGACTTGTGTAACGTTGTTAACAGGTTGGTTAAGAGGCGACAATCTTAAAATGCCCTTTGCGGTACCAATGGTTTGGAGAGAACCGAGGGACCATACTACTGATTGCTTTTTGCCTCATAAATATTAAAGGTATTGGACCAAAATCGAAACGTACTGTTATGCATTTTAATTGACCATCAGCTTTGCGGCCCATTAAGCATAGTGATGAACGTTCTGTCCCAGTTCCACCAGAATCTTGGCCTTTGGATGAAAAAGTCAAATCCACGGGTTCTGAAACTGATGGTACAGAAAGCGTAAAAATTTCCGATCCTTCGTTTGACCTGCCAGGATGTTCAACAGCGCCGCATTTGATCACACAGGGCGAACTCAATGACTTGTCAAAATCCCAGTCAGAACTTTTAACGTCAAGATTAATAGGATGGAATCTTCTCCACGGTGATGTTAACATTACTTTTTACCGAAAACGACAAGACTTCACGCACTGTTTCCGTCAAGAAAATGAGTTAATATATTGCTCCGATGTCAACAATTTGTTTGACACGTTAGAACAGAAACATGATCAAAATGATTGGCACCTGTTCATCGATTCCTCTAAGCTTAGTTTAAAAGCGATATTGATACACAACGGTAATAAACATCCATCTGTAACTATAGCGCACGCAGTTCATATGAAGAAATCATATGAAACTATGATTATGGATGGGTCATATGTGCAGATTTAAAGGTAACAGCCCTTTTTCTTGGAATGCAACTGAAATATACCAAATATTGTTTGCTTTGTGAATGGGACAGTCGCGCGCGAGATCGTCATTATGAACAGAAAGAGTGGCCACTTCGTCAGGTATTAACTCCAGGCCTCAAAAATATTGCTCACGAACCACTAGTTGATTCCAAAAACGTGTTGCTTCCACCTTTGCATATTAAGTTGGGACTGATGAAAAATTTTGTGGAAGCTATGGATCGAAATGGAAGAGGGTTTCTGCATTTAAAACAAACATTTCCAAGACCTAGTGGGGAAAAAATTAAAAAGGGCAGATTTGTGGGTCCACAAATACGGAAAATCGTGAAGCATGGTATATTTGACAGTGCTCTAAATAAAACTGGATAACGAGCTTGGAATGCTTTTAAATCAGTCACTGCAAATTTTTTAGGCAATGTGAAGGCGGACAATTATAAAGATATTGTGAGTGAACAATGGTTATGAAGAAACACGATGTAACATGTCTCTAAAAATTCACTTTTTGGATTCTCATCTCGATTTTTTCCGGAAAATTTAGGTGCGATAAGTGATGAACATGGTGAACGGTTCCACCAAGGCATTTCTGCTATGGAAAAACGGCCTCAACTCAAATGAAGTATCAATTTGCTTGCTGATTATTGCCGGACATTGTTAAGAGATACTTCAGAAGCAACATACCGCCGTAAAGCATCGACAACAACATTCTGAGATTAATGTTTATTCGATTTTTTGTTAGTACTCTTACACACATATCCTTATATTTTACGAGTATAAGCAGCAAATAAAATGCCTTATTGCAAGAAAACGGTGGGTGGTAGAAATAATTAAATGCTATTTCCTACTTTTTGGGTACGTTTTACAGAATAACCACCTTGCTTTGTCCATTTCACAAAAAAATATTTTAATTTTGTTCAAAAATGTTATTGTCGAGAGTCAAAAGTAAGAAAATAGCGTCAGATAGAGTTTATGCTTCATACGCCTTCGTTGGAGGTTTTGAAGAAACAGGATGAGTCGAATCGTTTCAAAAGGCTAATTCGAATCGTGATTAGCTAGGTTCATTCAGGTACCAGGAATCTCCGACATCTGCATATCAAACTATATAAAGCAAATCAATCATATTTCTGTTTCCATGGCAGATGTAGGGAAAACATGTGTGTCTTATCATGTCTAAAACGTGCATAGTGTCTCTGAGACTAGCAGCTTCTTAATAATAAAATGGCTTTCATTGAACCAAATACGCAACGATATACAAACATTTACCGCATACATTTTCAGAATCTACGACTAACTAACCGATGAAGGTATTAAGCTGGCGATAATATTCCAACTTTGGTTCACAAATTTTCTATTAGTTAAAGAGATCTGCATCATACAAGTCCGTGTTTCTTATTTTTATCAGTTAGTCAGACCATGTCTGTTGTACGAGCCGAAACAATTAAATATTTGGACACCTTTACGTTTTGTACAAATGGATGGACTACTGCTCTCTCAAAATGTATGGCAGAAATGTATAGTAAAAACCCATTTTCAACAGCAGCACCCCTGTTATCAAATGTATTACTTTAAAACAAACAGATTCACTGAAATATCTCGAAATATGATGGCAACTAAATGTTCG